TACAGATTAACACATTAACACATTAAATGGCAACGCTTTGTTAAAAAACCTAGACTGTTGCCTAGTATACAAATAACTTTATGAATTGCATTCCAATCCATAACTTCCCTCTACTTCAACACACCCTATCTAAATTTGTCTCAGGAAAACTCACGTCCCCTTTCCTCTCTCACACCAAGTACCTGTCTCAGTCTTCTCTAAAGTACACCGGGTATCTAGAATATCTCATTGACAACCTACAATACTGCTCAATATTCTTATGCTTTCATCAGCAACTCATATGTAAACACATGTATCTAGGTTCCTAGATAACATAAACCAGATCTCCATAAGTTTCCCATAAACACTAATTATAAAATGATTTAAAAGATTAAAAACAGGGCCAGCCCGGGGACACAGCGGTTAAGTTCGTGCACTCCACTTTGGCGGCCCGGGTTCACAGGTTCAGATCCCGGGCGCGGACCAACCCATGGCTTATCAAGCCATGCTGGGGTGGCGTCCCACATACAGTGGAGGAAGATGGGCATGGATGTTAGCCCAGGGCCAGTCTTCCTCAGCAAAAAGAGGAGGACTGGCAACAGATGTTACGTCAGGGCTAATCTTCCTCACCAAAAAAAGAAAAAAAGAGGAAGATTGGCAACAGATGTTAGCTCAGGGCCAATATTCCTCACAGGAAAAAAAGAAACAAAACATTAAAAACAAACTATAAGTGGTTACCAGGTGCTGGGGGAAGAGGGAATGGTAAGTGGTTTAACAGGTGGAGGGTTTAGTTAAGGATGATGAAAAGCTCTGAAGATGGATAAAGATGATCCCACAATAATGTGAATGTATTGAATGCCACAATTGTACAGCTGAAAATAGTTAAAGTGGTAAATTTTATGTTATATATATTTTATCACAATAAAAATAAACAAATGACATCATAACTCCATCATAAATATCCCATAGTTTATTACTCACCTGAAAAGAACCTTAATAATTTTCTATTACTAAGTTGATCTGAGAATATATAACCCAATTCTGTAATAGTTATCCTTAGGCATGTAGACAGATCATCTAGGGTTCACAATAATTTTAGGGGCCCACAAGTTTTAATTTCTTTTAAAATCAGAAGAAAAAAATGAACTTTTAGGTCAAAGAAAATGTTTTAATGTACAATAATATACTTGTCTTTATAACAATGCAGTCATAAAATATTTTTATTACCTTTTTATGAAGAAAGGGACTCATGAAGGCAAAAGTGCCGAGGGCCCGTGAAAGTCATAATGTGGCCCTGATGCTTACTATTTCCTATTATGAAATTACCAAGGTACAGCAAGCAAGTAAAAGCACAACTGGATATGTATATAAAACATTATTCTTAAAGAGAAATCCCAGAAATGAGCAAATATTGAGGGTTTGACATTTTTTTAAAAACCTCAGTAATATTAGAATGGTATCTCAATTATTATTTAATCCTTTTCAAACAATTCTTTATTAAGAAGAGTTATCAAGAGATATCGCATTTACATAAACAAATAAATGCTTGGAAATTAATGAGGATTTAAAGGAACTAGAGAGCAATAACTATTAAGAGAGGGAAAAATAAGTGCAAGGAAAAAAGGAAGAGAAGGAAAGAGGGAAAGAAAAAATATAGATTAAAAGGACAAATAGAACTACCCCTCATTATTTAAATTACCAGAGTTGAAAATACTTTTTAAGTAAATTCATAGCTTTAGCATAATGTCAATTAAAATTCCCAAAGGATAAATGAAATATTAAGGAATATGCTGAGAGTATGCTGTCCAAAATAAATTTGAAAAAATAAAAAATAAGCATGTATCTGAGCCTATTGATACTAGATAAAAACAAAAAACAGACAAACAGGAAATAGTCTTTTAAAGCTACAAATTAGTACATTTTAAATATATGAGGACAACATGGATGCACCTTGAGGGCATTATGCTAAGTGAAATAAATCAGACAGAGAAAGACAAATACTCTATGATCTCACCGAATGTGGAATCTAATAAAACCGAACTCATAGAAAACAGAGCAGACTAGTGGTGGCCAGGGAGGTGAGGGCAGGTGAAATGGATGAAGGCAGTCGAAAGGTACCAAATTCCAGTTGTTAGATACATAATTTCTGAGGACATAATGTACAGTATGATGACTACAGTTACTAGTAGCACATTGTATACTCGAAAGTTGCTAAGAGAGTAGATCTTAAAAATTCTCATCACAAGTAAAAAATAGGGAAAAGAATAACAAATAAATGTTTCTAGTATAATAACATTAACAGGAAGAAAAACAAATTGATCTCTTCGTCTTCATTATACATCATACAGAATTTCAGATGGGCTACAAATTTATTTTTTAACTAGAAAAATAAGGAATATTTCTAGTAATGAAAGAGAGTTTGTCTTTTCATTTCAAGCAACTAATCAAATTATTATAAAAAGTATCTACAAAATGAAGAATATCAAAGTAAAGATAAAAAGAAAATTAACAGAGTGAAAAGACGAGGGACTTTGCAACTGGAACACTAGATAAAAGTTTTATCTCAAATATACAGGGATGGAGCTAGGTTGACACCCAGCCCTCAACAGACAAACTGTCACAAATAGGACTTTAATCAAAAAGAGGCAGAGTTGCAGCCATTTAGCCATGTGCCAGGTACTACTATAAACACTAGATACATGTTTATATATATATAAATTAATCTCATACTCACAACTAGCCGCCTATAAAGAAGACACTGTTTTTATTCTTATGTAGCAAACTAGTAAGTTACTTCCCTAGTGTGACACAGCTAACTGGTTAGAGCTAGGATTTGAACCCAGGCAGTCTGACTCCAGAGTCCATGCTCCCAACCACTAAACTATTTGCTTCTTTCCACTGTACAACAAAAATTCACTGACCTTTCATTCTACAAATCTACGTCTACTAGACAGATATAAATTACTATAATACAAGACAAAACACAAGTAAGAATGGTTTTGAAAGAGTGCTTTGAGGATTTAGAAGACCATAAAATGATTTTCAGTAAAGGGGATAAGGAAAGGTTTTGTGGAAGAAATGATATCTATATTGGGTGTGGAAGGGTATGAGATAGGAAATGGGAAAAGAAAATATTCCACGCTGAAGGAACAGAATGACCAAAAGCATTAAATTAAGGTAGAAAAGCACTGGCAACTCAGACGCTTGAGTTGAAAAGAATGGTATGTATGAAAGAAGTAAATGGAAATAAATGATTCCAAGGACTAAGGAGGTTAGACTTAACTCAGTATGGAAGGTAAGGAGTAACATGGTCAGAGTTGTTATATGGCAACTCGATATAAGAACTGGACAGAAAAGAGATGGAAATGGAAAGAAATGCCAGAAGGTTAATTCACTAACCTAGGCATTATTAGTCTCAAGAAAAGTAAGGCCAATAGAAATAGAGAAAAAGGAATAGATACGTAGCACACAGTAGCAACTCAAATTTCAATTAAATTAAGAAACGAATTTAAGGAATTAAGGCACCAACGGGGTCAGAAAGAACAAGACTTAGTGTACTAAACTGTAAGACAACAAAGGGGACGAGGCCACACTCAGAGGTCACATTTTAGGGAACTTCACAGGGGGAGCATGTTAGGAGCCAGAAAGGGCTAGTGGAGGGGTAGAAAGGCCCTGAAGACAAACCGCCTGTGCCTGTTTTGGCCACATTCAAGAACTTAACTACGGAGACTTCCTAACCTCAACATTTTGAGAGGTGTTATGGAGGCAGACTGACGGAATTTAGTAATAAAATAAACGTGGAGGTGACTCCGAGGTTTTAAGCACAAACGAAAGAACAATCTTATCATTAACAGAGACAGGGAACAAAGGAGAAAAAGTAGGTTTAAAGCAAAAAGAGACATGAGTTCAGGTTGTGGATGGTGAGATTAAGGTTTATACAGTATGATATCCAGAAATAAGGCTGTGTCCACAGGACTAGTGCCTGGGTAAGAAAAATGAGAGCTGAAAATACAGATGTCACCCACATAAAGATATCTGGAAGTTGTGAGATTTCAAAAGAAAAATTATTAGAAAAGAAAAAAGGATTAGGAAAAAAACAGATCAAAGCAGATCAAAGCAAGTTTAAGGAACTATCTATATTTAGAAGGGAAGGAAGAAGAACCAAAGAAGGCACCATCACAGGGTTAAGATTAGCACCAGAAGAATCAAGTATAATACAGCAGTGCTCCCTAACATTTTTTCACATGAAAGTACATAAATAAGACAGTATTTGTGTGGCACAAAGGGGTAAATGAGGCTAATAACCAGATGTTGTTAGCATAGGAACTAAGGAGACCATTAATCTGTATACCAGTTAATCCACTCGCTACACTGTTTAGAAAGCTCTATATTACCAGTAAGTCTGTACGCCAAAAAGTTTAAGATTCTATTTCCCTAAAACTGCCTCTCTTTCAACAGTCACTGATCAGTTGGGTGGAATGTTGCAGATGTGACAAAGAAGAACTCGGAAATAACCACGAAACCTGGTAACTGAGAAATCACTGATGACTTTAAAAATCAGTGGAAAAATCTAGATTTCAGGAAGTCAAATATGGACATGGGTGATTGATTCAAGTTTCAATACTGTTACCAGTCATGTTACCCTAACTGGTTATAAGGAGTAATTTAAATGGAATGATTTCTAAAATCTTGCTCGCAAAAACATTCCCTTTTTTTTTGGTGAGGAAGATTGTCCCTGAGCTAACATCTGTGCCAATCTGCCTCTATTTTGTATGGTGGATGCTGCCACAGCACAGCTTGACAAGCGGTGTGTAGGTTCACACCCAGGATCCGAACCCGCAAACCCTGGGCCACCAAAGTGGAGCACGCAAACTTAACCACTACACCACCAGTCTGGCCCCAACATTCCCTTTTTAAACTAAATTGCAACTGTAAGATGCTTTATCTTCTAATTCTTGTTTTATTCGTGATAATAAAGAGCAAGAATGAATAAAAATCCTTTGAAACTTTGCCACACTTACCCAGTGCGAGATTGACCAACTTTATCACAAATATCCAAAATGAGGCCCCAATCCTCAGCAGTATTCATCTCACTGGTTGCTTTCTCTGTGTATTATAAAAAGAAATTACAGAAACATTATTTTTAAAAATCTTTAAGAGGTAAAGTGATCACATTCAAATTACCAAACGGTAGTAGAATTAAGTATCAACAACAAATCAGAATAGTTGCCAGCAGTCTGGTTAATGAGATGTTCAAATCCATCTTTAAAAAGGAGAGGGGGCACCTTTATTACCTACCACAATTACATTCACACTTCAGTTGCATGTTACTGAGTATAAAAAATAGACCACTGATTTTTTTTTATTAAAAAAAATTATATACAGGTCTACCCCTTTCTTCACACAGTATGTCTAAAATAAGAAATAATTTCATTACCAAATAATTCTTAGCTTTACTTGCCAGTGATGGAACAGAACTAGGCACAGATCTCTATCAAAATGTTTCAGGTAATTAAATTAATTAATGTTCTAGTTTTGTTGATTTCAGTTTCTGAGAAAGGAGAGGGAGAAATTGAACAAAAGAAAACCAAGCTTTGGGCCGGCCCTGTGGCTTGGTGGTTAAGTGCGCGCGCTGCGATGCTGGTGGCCCGGGTTCGGATCCCGGGTGCGCATCGAGGCACCACTTCTCCGTTCATCCTGAGGCCGAGTCCCGCATACAGCAACTAGAAGGATGTGTAGCTACAACACACAACTATCCACTGGGGCTTTGGGGGGAAAAATAAAAAATAAATAAATAAATAAAATCTTTAAAAAAAAAAAAAAAGAAAACCAAGCTTTAACTGAACATTTTCCCTAATTAAAAACTTGACAAATTAAAAACATCAACAGAGGTATGGCAAATTGAACCCAATCATCGAATTTAGCTCACTCCCTTAATTACAATAAAAGGATTTTTTTAAGACAAACACACACAAGGAAAACATGAGAAGTGGTAACAGCAACAATATCTCAAAATCTATATAACAATATAGATACATGGTAACCTACTTATAAGACCCAAGAAAAGTGAATCATATATTGGCAGTAAGAAAAAAAGCTTAAGAACCAGCCTGTTTTACACCAATGAATTCTCAGAAAATTTGAGTAAGGAACGTCTGCAACTGCGAGTGAAAAAGAAGACTTAAGTTAGGCAAAATGAGTTAATGCTGTCTGAAATACAGGTAGGTCCCTACTTTGCCTCTCCTACTCAAGGGCTCTAGCAACCACCTCTCCCCTGCCTGAGCAAATGAGTGAAGGTTTGCTCTCTGGAGGTAAAGCAAAGTTTTTCTAGACAAGGAGACACCAGGCATAACCGAGACACAGGCACCAAAAATAAGGAATTACTCCTGGTTTCCAGTTGGGCATGTAAGGAGCTTGGAAGTTACCATTCCAACCTAACACATAAAAAGCTGAACAAAGTGAAATATCAACAACTCTTCTTAGATCCTTTAGAAGTGAGGTCACAGGGCAAACCGCTGCCCCAAAAATTAGAGACACAGACAGGTGAATACAGAGAATCACAACTTAGAGCAGAAACCAGGAACCAGTACTAGGGTATGAAAATCTACACTGTAATTGACAAATTGCTGGAGGCTAAGTGTGCACAAGTCTGAGAGTTAAAACTCCAGAGCTGCTCAGACATAATGGAGCCCCCACACTTGCTGAGTTTTACTTTCATGAGCTCTCCCAGGTTCTCAAGGTGAATGTCACAGAAAATTTTCCCTATTTTTCCAGCAGGGGAGGGGGAAAAGAAATCATTTAAAAATATACCAAAGTGTTCTCTTCTTCTTAGCAAGGCCTACTCTCAAGAGAAATTATTGTACCAGCACCTAACCAACAAGGGTTTTGCCAGAGATTAACCCACCCGGGCTAAGAGAAATTCCCAACTCCAGCTTGCTCTAGCCTTCCATGCAGGAGAAGAGGAATATTCAACTCTAGCCCACTCTAGCCATCCTGTCCCACCTAAGAAGGGAGAAAAATCTGACAAGCACGTGAGAAATTGACACCCTAGGGGCAGAGCCTCACTAAAAAAAGACTGAGATCTAAGCGCCAGACTATAGAACACTTCTCCTCTTCCGACACCTCACCAACACGCCACTAAAGGCTAGTCTTCCTTTTAACAAGTGCATCTTGCCTAGCTTTCAGCAAGCCACACTATAAGGCAAAACACATAGTTTGAAGAGACAGGGCAAGCATCAGAACCAGACTCAGACATGGCAGGGCTGTTGGAATTACCAGACCAGGAATTTTAAAAACTATGATTAATATCCTAAGAACTCTAATGGAAAAAGGAGACAACACGCAAGAACAGACAGACAAGGTAAGCAGAGAGATAGAAATCCTAAAAGAGAATCAAACAGAAATACTAGAGATCAAAAACAGTATAACAGAAATGAATGCCTTTGATGGGCTCATCAGTACACTGGACATGGCTGAGGAATGAATCCCTGAGCTTGAGGATATGTCAATAGGAACTTCCAAAACTAAAAAGCAAAGAGAAAAAAATGACTGGGGAAAAAAAAATGCTGGAAAAGATTATCAAAGAACTGTGAAAAACTACAAAAGGTGTAACATAGGCATAACTGGCATAGCAGAGGATAAGAAAGAGAGAAAGAAACAGAAGAAATTTTTGAAGCAAAAATGATTCAGAATTTCCCCAAAATTATTGTCAGAAACCAAACCACAGGTCCAAGAAGCTCCAAGAACACCAAGCACAGTAAACATCAAAAAACTAAACCTAGGCATATCACATTCAAACTGCAGAAAATCAAAAATAAAGAAAAAATAGAAAAAGAAGCCAGCAGGAAAAAAAACCTTACCTGTACAAGAATAAACATAAGAATTACATCCGACAGCTCAGAAACCACGCAAAGATAGAATGGAATGAAACGGTTAGTGTTGAGAGAAAATAACCAGCAACCTAGGATTAGGTACACTGTGAAATTATTCTTCAAAAGTAAAGGAGAAATAAAGACTTTCTCAAACAAAGAAACACTGAGAGAATTTGTTACCAGTAGACTGGCCTTGCAAGAAATGTTAAAAGAAGTTCTTCAGAGAGAGGAAAATGATATAGGAGATATACATGTATGTGTCTGCGTGTGTGTATATACACATATTCACTTATTAGTGAAATGAATGATAGCATACCAGAGACAGGAGAGAGGAATAAGGAATATTGTGTTATTATAAGGTGCTTCCACTACCAGTGAAGTAGTATAATGTTATTTGAAAGTAGACTTAGACTAGTTATAAATGTATACTGCAAACTCTAGGGCAACCACTAAAAACAGCAAAAACAAAAAAAGAAGTATAATTGATATGCTAAAAAAAGAGAGAGAAAATGGAATCATATAAAATGCTCAAATAAAACCACAAAAGGCAGAAAAAAGAGAAGAAAAAATAGAAACAAAGAACAAGGGCTACAACTAGAAAACTGTAACAGGTATGATAGATATTAATCCAACAGTATCAATAATCACTTTAAATGTTATAGTCTAAATACAGAGATTATCAGAGTGATCAAAAAACAAGATCCAACTGTATGTTGTTTACAAGAATATAGATTAAAAGTAAATGGATGGAGAAAGATATACCATGCTAAAACTAATCAAAAGAAAGTGGGAGTAGCTACATTAATTTCAGACAGAGCCAACTTCAGAGCAAGGAAAGTTATCATGGAAAAAGGCATTACATAATGTTAACGGGGTCAATTCTCCAAGAAGACATAACAATCCTTTATATGTACGAATCTAACTACAGAGTGTCAAAATAACTGACACAAAAAGTAATAGAACTGCAAACAGCAATAGGTTGGAGACTTCAACATCCTTCTATCAGAAATGGACAAATCCAGCAGGCAGAAAATCAGTTAAGGACATAGCTGAACTTAACAACACCATCAATCAATTGGATATAATCAGCATCTATAGACTACTTCATCCAACAATAACAGAATACACATTCTTCTCAAGCTCACATGAAATATTCACCAAAATAGACTACATTCTGGGCCATAAAACACACCATAACACATCTAAAAGACTAGAAATCATACAATGTCTGCTCACAGGCCACAAAGGAATTAAACTAGAAATCATTAATAAAAAAGATAACTGGAAAATCTCAAAATTCATGGAGATTAAATAACACACTTTTAAATAATACATGGGTCAAAGAAGAAATCGCAAGAGAAATCTAAAAATATTTTGAACTAAACAAAAATGAAAGTACAACTTATCAAAATTTGTGGGATGCAACTGAAAGCAGTGCTTGGGGGAAATTTATAGCACTGAATGCATACGTTAGAAAAAAATCTATAATCGGGGCTGGGCCCGTGGTGTAGCGGTTAAGTGCACGTGCTCCACTTCAGCAGACCGAGGGTTCGCAGGTTTGGATCCTGGGCAAGCACCAACACACCGCTTGTCAAGCCATGCTGTGGCAGTGTCCCATATAAAGTAGAGGAAGATGGGCATGGATGTTAGCCCAGGGCCAATCTTCCTCAGCAAATAAAGGAGGATTGGCATCGGATGTTAGCTCAGGGTTGATCTTCCTCACAAAAAAAAAGAAAAGAATCTAAAATCACTAACATAAACTTCCACCTTAGGAAACTAGAAGACCAAGTTAAATCCAAAGGAAGCGGAAGAAAAGAATTAGAGCAAAAATCAATGAAACTGAAAACAGAAAAGAGAAAAATCAATACAACCAAAAGCTCATTCTTTGAAAAGATCAATAAAATTGATAGGCTAATTAAAAGAGAGAGAGACAAGATACAAATTACTAATATCAAAAATGAAAGAGCCAGCTGTGACAGCCTAGTGGTTAAAGTTTGGCACGCTCCACTTCGGAAGCCCAGGTTTGGTTCCCAGGCACGGAACCACACCACTTGTCTGTCAGTAGCCACCCTGTGGCAGGGGCTCACACAGAAGAACTAGAAGGACTTACAACTAGAATATATACAATTATGTACTGGGGCTTTGGGGAGGGAAAAAAAAGAGAGAGAGAAAGATTGGCAACAGATGTTAGCTCAGGGCGAATCTTTCAAAAAAAAGTGAAAGAGGGGACACCAC